TGGTTGCAATCACTAAGTAAAAACTAAATAAACCAAGTGCTTGTTACATATTGAACTTAAACAAGTTTTAATAAATTGTTCTCTTTTTAGAATTAGCATCTAACCATCCCAGCGGAGCTGGGTTCCCTGCTAGTCAAACTCTTTATTTAAAGTTGCTATTTTGGCATCGGCATCACATATTCTATTTTTAGAATATCCATTTTTTCTTATGGCAGATGCTCTTGATTCAACGATCCAGATCTGTGACGCTCCAAAGCAATGGTGAGGATTGTGACATGGTGGCAAAGAGCTTGGTTTTAGGTTTAAGAAACGGTTATTATGGCTGTTCACAAGCCACCAGCGACTTGTGAACCTCTAGATATTACGCTACAAACCATCTGTGGGTATGCGCCATGGATCTTTTCTTTCATTTGTTGTGATTTCTAGGCCATTTTCTTTTCACAAACTTGGTCCTGGACAAAATGATGGAGACCGCTAAGGAAAGTGGCATCCAGTGAAGAATTGTCAACCTCTCCTCCATCACACTTACAGCGGTGGAATCCAGTTCTCACACCTTAATGACAAAGCCTGGTACCAAACGACTTTCTTTTCTCGTGAGCTTACATTCTTCCTTTTTTCTTCCAAAAGGTACTCCGACAGTAGAGCATACAGTCCATCCAAGCTCGTGAACATCCTCCATGCCAAAGAACTGGCAATGAGATTCAAGGTATTTGTCTAATGCTTTGAAATCTCTCCCACCTTTCTCTTTCGTCAATGCTTTCTCTTTCGCTGATTATGCCAAAGGAGTTGACATCACAGCCAATGCTGTTCACCAGGGTTTATAATGTCGCCTTTGATGCGGCACACATTCTACATAATGAGTTTGTCTGTTAGCCTCGTCATTGTTTTCGGTTACTTATGGAACTTTGATCTTCATGCAGGGTTTCTCAAGTTCTTCTCCAGCTTCCTTTGGAAAAATGTGCCACAGGTAAGAAGAATTCTCCCAATTATCTGGAAGTTTTTTGTGACTAATACGTGATTGATCTCTCAGGACGCTGCAATGACGTGCTACACGGCTTTACATCCAAGCCTCAAGGACGTCACCGGGCAATACTTCGTGGATTCCAACAAATCCAGCTGTAGCGCTTATGGCAGAGATCCCGAGCTCGCTCACAAGCTATGGACCTTCTCCCAGGAGCTTATAGACAAGCGTTCTCCGTCCTAAAGGTAAAAGGTTGATGGTGCTAAAGAGCGAGTGAGCTTTCGGTTACTTATGGCCCTTTGATCTTCATGCAGGGGTTTTCAAGTTCTTCTCCAGCTTCCTTTGGAAAAATGTGCCACAGGTAAGAAGAATTCTCCCAATTATCTGGAAGTTTTTCGTGGCTAATACGTGATCAATCTCTCAGGACGCTGCTACGACGTGCTACACGGCTTTACATCCAAGCCTCAAGGACGTCACCGGGCAATACTTCGTGGATTCCAACAAATCCAGCTGTAGCGCTTATGGCAGAGATCCCGAGCTCGCTCACAAGCTATGGACCTTCTCCCAGGAGCTTATAGACAAGCGTTCTCCATCCTAAAGGTAAAAGGTTGATGGTGCTAAAGAGCGAGTGAGCTTTCGGTTACTTATGGCCCTTTGATCTTCATGCAGGGGTTTTCAAGTTCTTCTCCAGCTTCCTTTGGAAAAATGTGCCACAGGTAAGAAGAATTCTCTCAATTATCTGGAACTTTTTCGTGACTAATACGTGATTGATCTCTCAGGACGCTGCTACGACGTGCTACACGGCTTTACATCCAAGCCTTAAAGGACATCACCGGGCAATACTTCGTGGATTTCAACAAATCCAACTGTAGTGCTTATGGCAGAGATCCCGAGCTCGCTCACAAGCTATGGACCTTCTCCCAGGAGCTTATAGACAAGCATTCTCTGTCCTAAAGGTAAAAGGTTGATGGTGCTAAAGAGCGAGTGAGCTTTTGGTTACTTATGGACCTTTGATCTTCATGCAGAGGTTCTCAAGTTCTTCTCCAGCTTCCTTTGGAAAAATATGCCACAGGTAAGAAGAATTCTCCCAATTATCTGGAAGTTTTTCGTGGCTAATACGTGATTGATCTCTCAGGACGCTGCTACGACGTGCTACACGGCTTTACATCCAAGCCTCAAGGACGTCACTGGGCAATATTTCGTGGATTCCAACAAATCCAGCTGTAGCGCTTATGGCAGAGATCCCGAGCTCGTTCACAAGCTATGGACCTTCTCCCAGGAGCTTATAGACAAGCATTCTCTGTCCTAAAGGTAAAAGGTTGATGGTACTAGAGAGCGAGCTAGCAAACGAGGACAACTCGGCAATCATTTGTGGATAGACTGTATTTACTGTTCTCAAAAGCTCGAGCTCGAGCTTGATCAAAAGTAAGACGCGTTGCCTACATTGCGCATTACTAAAACTTTGGTTTCGAGCATGTCGTCCATCGCGTACTTGACACCCTCTCGTTGGATTGCAGAGTCTTTGATCCCACCATATGGCTGGTTATCAACGTGCATGCTTGGCGAATCATTGAGGCAAAATCCTCCAGCTTGTGAAGATCGAATAATCATCAAACAAACAATCAATACTTTCTATATCTCAAACACAAAGCTACCTGTATGTGCTCAAACACATAGAAGGCCTTGTTTAGATCATGCGTAAAGGCGCTGGCTTGGAGACCGTAATGCGTGTTTCCTTCACGGCTTCCTTGAAATCACTGTGTCACCACCGTTTTAGTTTAGAGAGAGAAAAAGAGTAAATAAGAACTTTAGGAGCTAAGAAACTTTGAGAGCTTACTTGTATGAGTAGAGAAGGATCACGGGACCGAGAATCTCTTCCTTCCTTGCATCTGTGTCAAAGGGAGCGTCTTCCAGGATCGTTGGCTCCATGAAAGCTCCCCTTTGCTTACTACCAACTAGAAGTTTGGCACCTGCCTTCACTGCCTCGTTCACGCTCTTCTCCACTATAGCTGCCGACGACTTGGATATCATGGGCCTGATGGACGTGTCATCTTGGCGAGGATCTCCACCTTTGAGTTTCTTAAAGGCAGCAATCAATGCGGCCTTCACCTACACAATCAGCACCAGATACATTAGATCAAAGCTTGATTTGAGAACAAAGAATACAATAGAATTTAAATACGAGTGTCAGATACCTCCTTGTAAAGGCCACCTCTCATGTAAAGATGCTGCATGTGAATACACAACTGGCTGCTTTGATAGAATCCCTTGTGGTGCTTTTGTTATATATGCCAAGTCCATTTACAATATTGACATATTCCCACCTTAACTCCAAGGATGTAGATAGTGGCAATAGAATTTGAGTGTTATAAATGGGTTTTACAAGATGAGAAATATATAAACCATTACTGAATCGTAAATTTGAGTATCAAAAAAACAATTAATATTTAAAGTATAGATTTTTTTAGTTAAAAACCAGATAGTGGAGTATTTGAAACAAGAAAGAAAATAAAAGAGTGCTATTGTTTTGAAATATAAATTACTAATTATGTTATAAACTAATTTATTTTTCTATTCAGAGAAATTTTTGATGATATAAATATCCAAAACATGCATATATAGTTGAGTAAATTTTAAAAATGTGATTAGTTTTGGAGGATATGTATAAGTAAAATTAATTTCTTAAATTATATTTAGTCTTCAAGAGTAGAGTTTTCTAACATTCATCTTAAAATTAAAATACATAATACCTGTAAATATTAATTTTATAAATGTTTTGATAAATACTTGCAATACTTGAGTTAAATGTCAATAATATAGTTTATATTATTTGAAAAGTATAGTAAATATCAATATATTTTTTGTTAACATAGAAAAATGATATCTAACTATACAATTTTAACTTTTAAAAATTCTTTAAAATTTAAATATCAACAATGTAAATTTTAATACAATAAAATGATGAATTATTGAGAATAAAATACAATAGTAAGACTTTACTCACAAATGATAAATTTACTACTACAATTTTTTTTTCAAAATAAAAATGTAACAATAAATAATTAAATATATATATATTTTAATGACATTATATAGTTTTTTATAAAAAATATATCAACATTAATATTTACATAGTAATGTGTCTGATCCATGTTTATATTTAAAATATTAATATTTTTATAATATATTTTAAGAATGTAATAATGTGTCCGTTTATATAATTTTTGAATAGTAAGTAGTGTTGAATCATTTAATAGTAATGTATTTTTAAATTGGAATGCATAGTTTTATCATAAGGCATTAGTACTGGTTTGTCCTAATACAAACATTATATCTCCAATATAATTATTATATTTGGATGTACCTCTTTTCAAATACCTATAATGTAGTGTGAATATCTAGATACATTTACTGTATATTTTTAAATATAAAAAAAGACACATAACAGAAATTCTATTATTCTTTTGTAAACTATAAAACTTAGAGGCACCATTACAATTCAGATAAAAAGTTTATGCAATAAAAATTATAATTTCTCCAAACTAACCTTTTATTTTTTGGTAGTAAAACTCAATTGCTTTTAAAGCCTGACAGCAATCTTCTAGATGTGTTTAGGGTTTTGTAGCTTTTAATAAAGTAAATAAAAAATTCAAATTCAAATTTAATGATTATTAAAAAATGATCTTATCTTCCCCAACACTTGCATTATTATCTCAGTGCGTTATTGTCCATTTCTCTGGAGATGAATATTAGCAAAGTTAAGCTAAATTTAACCTTGTATACAATCAAAATTTCTAATATTGTAAAATTTGAAAAGAAGATCTATTTATCTTGGGTATGCTATATCTCCCAGCAGATATTTCAGCATACTCTTTGTTCTATAGAATGAAATCTTTATAAAAAAAAGAGTACTTGATTGATTTGATACTACATTACGAAAATTAAACATAATTTTGCTGCACAAAGATGGTATGCAGTAGACATATTAGAAAATATACTTAAAATTTAAAAATAAATAAAGTAGTGACTATAGAAAATAATATAATTCTATCATATATAGAAAAATGATAGAAAATAGCTTCAATTCAATTCAATTCAATTCAATTGAAAAAATATGTGAATTTGTAATTAAAATTGTAATTCTATTCCTCCAGCCTCAATCAAACCTCTAGCTATTTTATCTTATAAAGTAGGTTTATTTTTATGAATAATCTTATGATACTTATTTCAGATTCATCAATTAATCTATTCACATAGAGTTGTTGGTTAGCTCATATATACTCTAATATCTGTGTAAAATCATAAAGTTATAATACGTTTTTTAAGACTAATAATGTGTTCTTTGATACATTGAAAAAATAAATAAATATAATGACGTATAGAAAAAAATATGATTGAGACAACATTAGACACAATACAAAAGGAAACCATCTAAAAA